AACCAAAGCAACTATTTTGGAGATCCGGCATTCAATCAATTTATCGAAACGAGTTTGTTTTCATTGTCACTCAGTCGAGGTGGCTTTTGCTTAGCGGGCATTTAATTAGAGAGAAACGAGAAAACAGTGCATCGTACATTTACATGCATTTCAAGCTGTTTCCAACTTATCTTAGGCACCCCCGAGAATCAATCACTTTAAATTGGTAGCTCCGTCGTGTTATTTAACTTTTATGGTGAAGAACCTCATAGTTTGTCCCTTTAGCCACTCGAATTAATGTATTTTCTTAAAAAAACAATCATTTTCTCGAATTTTTTTTCCTTTTTAAATTCTCTTTTTAAGGATGAATGGAAAATGCATGATACTTGTATAAATTATTTCATTGTGAAAATAACCAAGCGGGAAAGCGCACTAATCGAGCATCATAATGAAAGAAAGAAATGTTGGCGACGAATTATTCGGAATTCCCGTTCGTGCCAAACATATTTTTATTTGGATTGGTCCTATCGCACCAATTGACAAAGTTGAAACCTAAACTGCGCCATGTCGGCATTAACCTAATGATGTAATGGCTTTTTCGGCGTAAAGTTTTTGACTGTCAATATTCGGAAGATCGTTTGTTCGAAGCGCTAAAGACGAAAAAGAGGTGCCCTCGGTTACACCATGACTCATTTTTGTCATTGAACGGGAGGCGAGCTTCTTTCTTTCTTTCATATAAAACTTTATCATTTATTTTTCTTTTGGTCTATGAAATTATGATTGATTCTCTAAATTGTACAGGATACATATAATTAATTGACTTTGGAACATAGAAAGAGCAAAAAATATATATACAAAAAGCAGTCTAAAATTATTATTGATTTAAAACAAGCACCGAAAAATAAATAATCACGGTAGCCTTCTTTTTTGTTTGGTGTGTGTGTGTGTATAAAAAAAAAAATATTAAATCCATTTAACCTGTTGGAAAAATTCCCATAACTTGCTGGCTTTATTTACATCAATTCGGAGTAATTTTTGTGCATCGCTCTTGCGAAAAGGAAGTGATCGTTGAACGTAACGTTGGGCGGCTGATACCAAAGTGTTTTTGGCGGTCAAGTACTGCACAGGAGTGAGACGTAGTGTGGATGCCACCATGATCTCTTTTGGGTGCAAGGCATTAAAATGGGGTAAATGAGAGATGGATAGGGGCTGGCCTTTCCAAGTAATTTTTGGCGTGATGTCGTTTAAGATTCCCATATCCAGATGCATATTGTTAATATTTTCAAACAACTTTTCCCATTCCATCGGCGGTGGTGGCGGAAGGCGAACAGATTTTATTTCGCCGGAGTTGGACGTATCGAATGATGTCTCCAAGAGACCACGATCCACCATTACCCGGGATAGACTATTGCTCTTCCTTTTACGTTCTACAATCGGAAGTTTGGAATTCTTTGTCTTGATGCGTCTCTTGCGCTGTTTCTTTTGCATTGCCAAATTTGGGCTAGGGGGAGGGGTCGAATCGGATGGGGATGATGGTGAAGTTAAGGATGGTGTGCTACAACCCGATAAAGGTGGTTGTGGGTTGTCTCTGTGTAAAAGGGCCATTGGATTCTCTTTAAAGGGCGTAAAGACGTCAAGCTTAAGTGTGATTCCGGGTGATGACTTGGAGGGTGATTTCATCGGATAAGGATTCTTACGAGGACGATGGTTCGTGGTTCGGATGTTGATCCTGTGACTATTGTGGAGACTCACATGATTATTGTTGAGGTTGTGAATCTTGGTGGATTTCGATTTGGTGACATTGCTAGCTTTAATTTTGGCTTTAATTTTGACTTCGTTGGGCTTCTTGATTTCCGAATTTTTGATCAAATCTAAAAGTTCGGGTGGAGCATCTGATAGAAACATTCGAAATTTACTTTTTGGGTTGGTAATTTTTTCTGGCTGTGGTGGCTGTGATGCCGATATCGCTTGTTTGCCAGTGTCACCTACT